AAAGATAAAATAGGTCAAAAGGGAAATTGGAGAGTAAAGAAAGCAAATGAAGGACAAAACACCATTAGAAACATCCAGGAACAGAATGATCAGCTGCCAGCAAGTCAGTGTCAGCAAGGGAAGACCTGAAATACTAGCAAAGAGGAAAAAGACAAAAAGATTAAAGACACTGAAGGAAAAGATATGGAGAACAGACAAGATACAAAATAAAGCAAAACATAACATTTCTCTCAAGTTTGAAACACGTGACAGGAAAGTGTTAATTTAAAGAAGTAAAATTCAACAGAAAATTAAAAGGCATGAAAATGGTTAATTAACATGTGGAAGGATTCTGTGTAAATTTAGGAAAATGAAAACAACATTCAGTTGGTGCAAAAGTAATTGTGGTTTTTGCCATTAATACCTCTTTGCAGATCACATCATCAAAAATTGAAAAGATTGATGTGTGGGCAAAGGTGTAAAACTAGAAACTTGAATACAATGTTGAATAAAACTATCATTTTCAAATTCAAATACTACTTTACTTCAGCACATTTATCTTACATATACACTCACAACTAAGAAAGGAATATGTACAAGTAAAGTCACTGTGTCATTTTTAGTCATTGTAAAAATCAGAAAAAAGTCTAAATTTTTGTTTGTAGAGGATTAGTTTAAAATCATGGAATATCCATATAATGAAAAAGGTAGTTGTTCATTGGAAAATACAGTAGCTGTCTATATTGATAGGGAAAGATCTTCAAGATTACTCAAGTGACACAACAGATATTTCACAATACCTATGAATGCATACCCTCCTGTTAGGGAAACAGGAGCCTAGGAGAGTCAGGGTGACACCACTTTAAAATCAACTCCATCTTAAACCTAATGAGATACATTCCTTGCCAGTTGCCACCTGTATTTTCCTCTTCTCACGCTGTTAATAAAGATGTACCCTAGACTGGGTAATTTATAAAAGAAAGAGGTTTCATTGACTCTCAGTTCCTCAGGGATGGGGAGGCCTCAGAAAACGTAGAATCACGGCAGAAGGGGAAGCAAACACGTCCTTCTGCACACGGTGGAAGCAAGGAGAAGTACAGCAAGGAGAAGAGTGAAGTGGGGGAAAACCCCTTATGAAGCCATCAGATCTCGTGAGAACTGACTCGTTATCACGAGAACAGCATGGAGGTAACTGCCCCCATGATTCAATTACCTCCTACTGGGTCCCTCCCATGACACATGGTGATTATGCGAACTACAGTTCAAGATGAGATTTGGGTGGGGATACCTGGGTGAGACACAGCCAAAACATGTCACCATCCATGGTCATAGGATGTTAATGGCTGAGAAAAACGCCTGCAAGGACAAACTCTTACGACAGCAAAATGTCCCAATGTCCCAATATCACATAATAATATATGCTTTTACAGATAATAGTCATGCTATGGTGTGCTTGTGCACTAAAATGCCAAGGACAGCTTTCTTTAAACCAACAAGGAATAAATTTTGTCACACTGTCAGCCCACCGACATGTAGACATAATGTAGTTTAGCTTTTACATAGATAATATCCCTATATAAGAGAAACTTAAGACAAAGATGAGAGGTTCCTCCTCTTGCTTTCTGAGGATGCCCTACTTTGTATCTGGGTAGGTTTCAGTAAACCCTCTCTTCTCACTGCACTCTGCGACTCACCTTGAATTCTTTCCTGCACAAAATCCAAGAACCCTTATTTGGGGTCTGGATTGGAACCCCTTTTCCTGGCAACACTCCTATTACACTTGAAATTTTAATCGTATGCCTGTATTTCTTCTTTTTTATATGTTAAAAATTTATATGTTTTCTATGAAAAAGAGTTGGAATTTTTTTTAAGTTTTAGCTTTTTATGACGAAAATTATTAACTGGAAAATTAGACTATCAGGGAGACTTATAGTTTAACCTAGCTAAGATCTCATTCTCAAACATGGGCCATTACTTTTACTGGAATTAAGAAATTATATAATCATATTGGAACTAGTGTTGAATAATGTTATTCTTGTTCACATAAAGAAACATGAATAAATATACAATAACTATGATTTAAATCTGAAACAAGCACTAAAATTATGTGCACAGCATTCGTTTTGCTACTATGCTGCAAACAGAATATTTTCTTCTCATAGCACCTGCAGTGAAGGTCTCAAAGGAGTTTTGCATGGAAGGGCATTGAAGGGGACATGAAATTTTAACTAATACCATGAGCTCACATGCTTCAAACCCAAACTTGCTTATAACCAACCAATGTCACTTCTTAGAGAACAATATTACAGGCTTTTAGTATTGTGATATAGTTTTCCCTTAAATTATGTTTTGTTATCTGAAATCCCAATGAATGGTTTTAGGGTTTTTTTTAATTTTTGTAAGACAGGGTCTGGAACTCCTGGGCTCAAGCGATCCTCCCACCTCAGCCTCCCAAAGTGCTGGGATTACAGGTGTGAGCCACCACACCTGGCTAATGTTTGCTGTGGACACCGTATGTCTTATTAGCATAATCATAAGAAGACCCTAAAAATACATATTTTAGCTGCTCCCAGAGTCTCTCTGTGTTTCTATAGGACAGTGGGGAACTGATATAAATAATTAAGAAGCAAATTAATTATTTGTCAATTATGTACCCATCCTGTCTTCTAGCATGGAGACTTAAATGCAAAGCAGAGGCAGCCAGTTGCCAATTACTTTTACAAGCTTCATTCTTCAGTTGAATTAGGAAAGACTAAGATGTAACCAGATGTATGTATTATCAACTGATGATAGTTATCTACTTTTTAAAATACTTTTTGATTTAGTCCTCCTAATTTTCCTATGGTTGCAACTCCCAAAAAGAATCATAACGTAAAACCTACACCTAAGAAAATTCTGTTCTGATGCAGAGGAAATTCATCTACTTGCAAAAGCACAGTGCAGGATTGCAATTCAGATGTCAAGTTAACCTGATGAGTGATTGGAAAACACACACACACACACACACACACACACACACACACACGTTAGCTTTGTAAAATAAAAATCTGGAGCAAGCCACAGAACATGGTCTCTTTCAGAGGCGAGTGTCTTTGTTCTGCATAGCTGCTGTCCTGATGGTGTGGGCACCTCTAAGTGGTCTCTCCATTGTGCTGGACCTGGTTGCTGTGACTAACAATGGGTGGCTCTACTGGTCTGAAATCTAATGAGCATGTTAGTCACCTGCATGCCTGCTCTTATTTAAAAGAGCCAGTTCACCTCCTTTTTTACATAGTCAATTTAGATCCTCTCAGAGAAATGCCAGAACGTTCAGTAGACACATTATTCCTGAACTAAAACTAGCTGCAATTTCCAACTTTCACATGGTGGTGAGTACCAAAGGTAATAACAATGAATTTGTCATTCAGCCACAAGAGATTGATGCAGCCAATTAAGGCTACACTCTGCCCATAAGATTCTGCTCAGGTTTTTCACTCCATCGTGATGGGGGCGATCACCGGAAGGGATGATTTCTTCCACTTGTATCACATAGAACCCCTGCAAACGGCTTTCACTCCACAAATACTTGTGATGGACTTTGTTATGTTCCAGACACTGCTTGACAACCTCTACAACGATTAACGCAGTTAATCCTCCGACAACACTTACTGATGAGTTCTATTACTCCGATCACTTGCACATGAAGAAAGCTGGATGCTAAGTCACTTGTCCAAGGTCACACAGCTAGTGAATGGCACAGCTGGGATGTGAACACAAGCACTATGGCTTCAGAATCCAGGTTCGCTCTGACTTTACTACACCACTCCTGTGCTCGAGATAAAGCTGGGTTTCCAATCTCCGCATTATTGACATGTAGGGACAAGTAATTATTTGTTGTTGGAGGCTATTCTATACATTGTAGTGTCCCTGGCCTTTACCCACTAGGTCCCTGGAGCAGTCCTCCCTCCCCTGAGCTGTGAAAACCAAAAGTGTCTTCGGATACTGCCAAATATCTCTTTGGGGACAAAATCATCTCGTTGAGATATCATTCTCTACGTCTATCATAGAAATAGAATGACTAAAAAGAAGAAATAATAGAAAAACGTGGGATTACTAAAAACAGTCGTAGTATGTCCGTCTCTGTACATTTTGAGATAGAATTATTAGGAAATATCTCAAAACAGTCCCTTTTTTTTTGAGACAGAGTCTCTCTCTGTCGCCTAGACTGGAGAGTAATGGCGCTATCTCGGCTCACTGAAACATCTGCCTCCTGGGTTCAGGCGATTCTCGTGCCTCAGCCTCCCGAGTCGCTGGTATTACAGGCGCCCACCACCACGCCCGGCTAACTTTTTGTATTTTTTAGTAGAGATGGGGTTTCGCCAAATTGGCCAGGCTGGTCTTGAACTCCTGACCTCAGGTGATCCACCTGCCTCGGCCTCCCAAAGTGCTGGGATTACAGGCATGAGCCACCGCACTCGGCCTCGAAATAGTCCTTCTTTTGGCTTTTATGTTATCTCTCCTTCCTACCGTTTTTCTAATTTTTTTTTTTTTTTTGCCTCAGGCAGCTAGAAGTACAGAGCTCTATTTTCACCTGAAGCCACAAGTATTTGAGGAATTCGTAGGTGCTCAATATTGTTAGATACCTCATATGCACAGAAATATAGGAAGTTACACGGATTTCAGCCTAGTTGAAGAAAAGCGTCGACAGGGAAACTAGAATCAGTCACGCAGTCAGAACATATGTAAATGTTACCTTACGCGGCCTGTGGGAATGAAGCACGACACGACCGGTGGGGGCGGTAGTGAGCAGGGCCGGCTCTGCTGAGAAGATCGGTGAGCCGAGTCCGGAGAAGAAAAGGCAAAGGCGAAGTGACATCCGGCCAAGCTCGCCATGTTGAGAAGGTAACGCAGTGAAGGCCCCGCCCAGCTGGGGGTGGAAGACGCACGTTGGAAGGAACGCGACGCACGTTGGAAGGAAGGCGACCCACGGTCGGAAGCAGGGAGCGATGAGCGCTGAAGGCTCGAGAACAAGAACAGAAAGCGCGCTCGCTTCGGCAGCACGTGTCCTGAAATCGAAACGGTACGGGGAAGATTAGCAGGGCCCCTGCGCAAGGATGGCACGCAAATTCCTGAAGTGTTCCAAATAAATAAATGAATGAGTCAGAACAGGAAGTGGTTCTGGGCGTTTCAGTAATAATGACGAGCTGCCGGGAACGAGGGCTATGCAGGGGCTCATGGTGAGTTACGGAAGTTGTTACTAATCTGCTTTATGGTGAGAAGACAGAGATCGAGGTGCTGGCAGTGAAATGGAAAGTAAGGGGTGATTAAGGGGAAAGATTTGAAATTGAAGAATTGACAGGGAAAATAAGAACAAATGTGGTAGGCTGCTTCTCAGTGAGCTCCCAGTAACCCCTTTCTCCTGGGAGCCACCCTCCTGTGGGAGCTCCCCCCCCCAATGTGGGCTAGACCTAGTGACTCATTTCTAATGAACAGAATATGGCAGAGTAAGGGGACACTCTTATAAAGGAATGTGACTTCCATCTTGGGTGTTAGTAACCTCTGGGGAGACCCACATGGCAATGAAATGATGTCCCTGGACCAGCCAGAGAGGACCAGAGAACGGTCAGCAATCCCATGAGTGAGGCTGGACGTGAATGTGTCCCCCAATCCCCCACGTTCAGCTGTGAGATGACCACAGCCCTGGCCACAGCCTTGACTGCAGCCTTGTAGAGAACCTGGACCAGAGGGTACTGCTAGGCCACGCCTGGACTCCTGAGCCACAGGGACTGTGAATGGACCAAAGTGTGCTGTTTGAAGCCACTAAATCCAGGGGGCATTAGTTACACAGCAATGAAGAAAAAGTACGACAAGCTTACAAGATGAAAAATAACTTTCATCTCAAATATAGGACACAGTTTATTCAGTGTACATATTTAGGTATATGATTTTTCTGAAAATTAACCAAAGGGGGAATGAATAAAGAAATAGAAACATCAAAGCAAGGAAAGGAAGAGAGCCCACATCTAATAGAGAAAATGTTGTTGCACTTTAAGTACAGAAGACAGAGATCTCTCTTCCATGGGTAATGGCTCTCCCGTGTTAGCCATCTACTTGCTGTCTCCAGCATTATGCAGCGACATGTAACTGGACTGTGTTCAGAAAATTAAAATGACATATTCAAGGTAAATATCTAGGAACATTTCAGCCCTTAGGAAGTAGAAGAATATTCTATCTCCTGTCTACAATCTCCATATTTTCTAACAGACAGATAATGCAACTCATTCTGCTACGCATCAGCTAGTTAACTAGCAACGCCTTTTCCTCTGCTGATGAGTACAGGAGTTCTTTGAAAGAATTGCTTGTTTCAAAGAGGTCGAAGTGCAGAGTACAATGGTGGTTGCCAGGGGTTGGAGGCATGGGGCATGGGGAGAGGTTGGTCAAAGGATACATGGATGAGATGAGTGTGTTCTGAAGATCTATGTACAAGACGATGCTGTCAATAAGAATGGATTACTGTATACTTGAAACTGTTAAGAGAGAAATGCTCTCACCACAAGAAAAACAAATAACTATGTAGGTGATGGATATGTTTAATAACTTTGACTGTGGTAACGGTTTGACAGTGCATGCATATATCAAAACTTCCCATTGTGCACTGTAAATATACACAATCTTTACTTACACTTCGACAAAGCTAGGGTGGGAGAAGGAAACACTATTGTAAATCACAGCACACTTGAAGGAAAGAGGAACAGACACCTATTTCAACATGTAAGATCGTAACAGGAAGAAGAATGTGAGTTCCATGAAGGCAGGCATTTGCTTTGTTCTTGTCATAGTCCCAGGCCCTGGCTCATGTTAGATGGTCCCTAGTGGTGAGGTGAGTATAATTAATAATGGAGACGAATACTCAGGGTCCTTAAACATATGCGCAAAGCAAATACACTTTATCTTCTACGCAATTCTATATTAATTAGCACTCTTAGTTTATAAGCTTACTAACCACGTCTTGATGCGTGATTCTGTTATTCAAACTTTCAAGCCCATTGCCAGAAACCAAAGCTATCGGTCAGTGTGTTAGTGGTCCCCAGGGAAACAGGAGCAATGGGATACACGTGGTGGATAATTTCCCATGTCAGCTTGGCTAGACCAGGATGCTCAGATATTTGGTGAAATATTATTCTGTATATTCCTGTGAGGGTATTTTTGGATGAGACTGATATTTCAATGGATGAACATTGAGTAAAGCAGACTTCCCTCCGTAATGTGGGGGGTCGAGGGGGCTCATCCGAGCAGCTGAAGGCCTGAATGAAACAAAGGCTGATATCCCCCAAACAAGACATGCTTCTGTAGCAGACGGCTGCTGGCTTTAACTGCACCAGTGCCTCTTTCTTGGTCTCCAGCCTGCTGGTCCATTCTGCGGATGCTGGACTTGCTAGCCTCCACAATCTTGTGAGCAAACTCCTCAAAATAAATCTCTCTCTCCCCCCACATCCCCCTCCACATTGTATTGGTTCTGTTTTTCTGGAGAGAGCCTTAACACAGTGTGGATGTGTGTGTGCAGGTGCACATGCACATATACAGATTTTTTTTTTTTTTTAAATACCTTTTCTTTTTTTTAGAGATGGGGGTCTCACTATGTTGCCCAGGCTGGTCTCGGACTCCTGGGCTCAAGCAATCCTCCCGCTATGGTTTCCCAAAGTACTGAGATTACACACATAAGCCACTGTGCCCAGCCTAAAGAGATATATTTTAAGGGAAGATCTGATTCTGCAGTTTAAGTCTGAAGGCCACCTGCTGACAGGCTCCCCTTTTCTCAGAGGGTGTTCCATTTTCTGTTAAGACCTTATTCCACTGACTGGATGAAGGCTGCCCACACAATGGAGGGGACTTGGCTTCCTCAAAGCCTACTGATTTAAATGTTAGTTTCATTTTTAAAATATCCTCACAGAAACATCTGGAATAAAGTCTGACCAAATATCTGGGTACAGTGATCCAGCCAAGTTGAGACATAAAATTAACCACCATGGCCTACACTTTTATCTTTTTGGCTGCAATTCTGTCAAAGACTTCTGCTCTTCATAACATCTCACTCACTAGCTCCACGAAGCCATATGATACAAACCTTGCCTGTGTAGCCTTCAGTTTTTTTCCAAAAGAAGTCTATTAAACGCTAGTCAAGTATCTTCTCCTCCAAGCTCAGTAGCTTGGGCCTTCAGCAGCTGTTCCCCATTCCCATTCATCTCCCTGAGCTACCTGGCATTCTTATCAGGACACTGGAGGAATTGCTCTATGTGCCTCTAAAGATTCAGCACCCAAACATGATAGAAATCACGGTGTTCACACCGTATCTATATATCTGCCCATCCCTTTAAATCATTCCAATAAAGCAGATTAGAAGCAGTAATAGGATTCAGCTGCTTGCTTTATACCATTGATGGTTCTGGTTTAAGGACCATCAATGGTATAAAGAAGGTAGCTGGGTCCTATTACTCAGCTGCTGAGTATAAAGAAGGGAAAATAGTTTGAGGATGCTAGACATCCAGCTAACATCCTCAAACCATTTTCCTTTAACTTCTAACCAAAATGCCAAGCAAATCAAGGGGGGCAAGGTTAACATTAACAACATAAGACAGACCACCTAATGTCAGAATGTGCATGGTGTTGGCGATAATAATAACAAAGATGAAGGTTGACTGAGAAAAATCTTGGCCAGAATTCAGCACATCCTACCTAAGAACACTCCATCAGAAACAGACCACTTGGAAAGGCTGAAAGTGCTTGTTTTCTGAAACTGAAGTACCTGTAGCAACTGATCCAAGGTTCTGGAGAATAAAATTAATAGAAGGAATCAAACTTGTGCTATTTTAGAAGGTTTCTTTAAGAACTCCATAGTGTGGCTGGGCGCAGCGGCTCACTCCTGTAATCCCAGCATTTTGGGAAGCCGAGGCAGGAGGATCACAGGGTCAGGAGTTCGTGACCAGCCTGGCCAATATGCTGAAACCCCGTCTCTACTAAAAGTACAAAAATTAGCCAGGCATGGTGGCGTGTGCCTGTAGTCCCAGCTACTTGGGAGGCTGAGGCAGGAGAATCGCTTGAACTCGGGAGGCGGAGGTTGCAGTGAGCCGAGATCACACCACTGCACTCTAGCCTGGGAGACAGAGGGAGACTCCCCATCCCCCAAAAAAGGAACCCCATAGTCCAATTATGTGTATCCAGGACCCTATCCAGAAATGAGAGGAGGAAGTGCCTGCCCACTGGGAGTGTCAGCAGAGGGCGTTTGCTTCATTCTACTCTCAAAGACCCTCACATCTAACCTGCTCCCCCTGACATCCAGGCCTTTTCATCTGAGGTCAAAGTGCTATTGCCATGCAGCTTAGGCTTGCATGCAATAATGACTTGCTTATACATTTTTGTAAATTTGCACATAGGTCTAATTAATGATTTTCCTGTGGACAGGTGATAGACCTGTGCAGATTCTTTGAGTCATTTTTGTTTGGTTCATAGTTCATTCTGCAACATTCTAAACTCTTGCCAAGCTGCAGTGAGCAGGTTCTCTATTTGCCTTCTATCTACTAATCATCTTTCAGTGCTGTCTATCTCTTCTAGGATAGCACAGGATAACTTCCCTCAGCCAGTTGAAGCACCCTCTACACTTATGCATAAATCAGCTAATATTAGCCAGGTGTGGTGGTGTGCACCAGTAGCCCTAGCTATTTTAAAGGCTGAGACAGGAGGATTGTTTCAGCCCAGGAGGTCAAGTCTGCAATGAGCTATGATTATTGCACTGCATTCTAACCTGGGCAACAGGATGAGACCCCATCTCTTAAAGTCAGCTGTATGTCTGTATCCCCTTCCTCAATCCATGTCCGTATTATTGTTCTTTCCACACCAATTCTATTCCTGTCTTCCCTCCATCAGTCTCAAATTTTTAGAGCTTGCACAGACCAAATAGTAGAGTTATCTCTCTCTACTATATTGCTATGGGAAAATGACAGAGGGTGGTTTCTTTCTCCCATTTCCAGTCCCATCTTTTCAGCACCTAGACAGCACCTACAAATCCTAGGATGAAAAGTGGAGAGTAACCTACATGGAATCTATGGAAAAGCTAGTATTTCAGAAAAAAAATAAATAGGGGATCATCTGGGA